AGTCAAAGGAGGGTTAATAGGAAGAAGAAAACAGCGGTGACAAAGCACTATAGAACTTCGAATGTCAAAAGCTATAATGAGAAAATTCAGACTAATAGCTCGGTTATGCATACTTGGTATTGCATAAGAATTGTCACATAATTAATCTGCTAAATGAGCTTTGCGTGTTAGTGGTTACCCAACGCACAGCATTACAGATGTAGAAGTCAGCGTTAAAATGACATTCTATGCAGACTGCAGAAGTTTACGTAAAAAAGTTTTGCCACCTGATAAAAAAATTTAATTCAAATTACTACATGTAAAAGGGCTGCCACCTGATTTTATAATTAAATTCAATTTGAATTAAGGGTATTAGATAATTTCTTTATGTCAGACGAAAAAGGTTTACCCGCGGTTTTGATTTAAAAATAAATTGACCAGGACTGTCATCTGTTTGAAAAGTCGTATTAAATTAAATTATATTATATATTGAAATATTTGCGTCAAACAAAGGAGTATCAAAAAATATTTAGTTTGAGCATTTACAACAATTAAAGACGGTTTCCACCTGTTTAGAAAATTAAACTCAAATTATTTAATAAGTCAAATGAATTATTAAAGTATGAGTATAATTTGACATGAGTTAAAAATGCTTTTTTCTGAACTTTATTTAAGAGGGTTGCCATATGTTTTGGAAATTTAATTCAGCTTGAATTAAGGGAATTAGATAAACAATTTAAATATGTATCGCAATATGTGTGTCAGTCGAAATAGTTTAACAAGGTTTTGGTTTAAAATATTTTGAATAGGGTTGCCACCTATTGTAAATTAGAATTTAATTAAAGTATGCATAAGTTAAATGAAATATTATAATATGACGTGAAAAGAAGGCGGTAAGATATGCTTAGTTTGAATATTAAGAATATTAAAGAAGAAGAAAAGAAGAAGAAGAAACTCAAATTATTTAATAAGTTAAAGCAATTATTAAAACTATGGGTATCAAATGAAATGGGTTTAAGCAGGCTTTATTTCTGAACCGTATTAAGGAGCGTTGTCACGTATTTAAAAAATCAAATTTAACTTAATTCATCAGGCACACTAAATAAGTAGGTATTAAAATATCAGGCGCAAGAGATTTGTTAATTTTATAACTATATTTTAGGAGGGTTGCCAGCTGTTTCCGAATTCTTAGCTAACTAGCACATCTTAGCACACTTGAGTCACTCAAACTGGGCAGCAAGAGATACTCATTGAGCCGGAGTTTAATTATAGGAAACATGGTAAGCTTTCAGTGGTAAGGGAAATCTTTAAGGATTTCAAATATTGTTGTTACTCTCTCTATGCACCTAAAGGTCAGTCCACAGTCACAAATTCCCTTTATGAAAAGGAAATGAATCCGTTACTTATAATGAAAATGACTGAAATTATGGGTTTGGCGGAATCCGAATATGCGCTCAAAGTGCCGAAGGTACAAGCAATTATCAATGCCACACACACAACAGGTGTCTTTGATTTGCTGCTAGTAGAACAGTTAAACCATGAAGCCCTTCTCGCCTTGGCTCACATCTATAAAGTACCTGCCGTCAGCTCTGCCACATAAATATGCGCAACAAAACTACATGAGACAGATGGTTGGCATAATTTCGCCTTGGTCGTATGTCCCTTCTGGGTTTTTACCACTAACTGAGCACATGAACTTTTGGGAACGCTGCTATAATGCCTACTATTCACTGCGCATGGATCTACAACGTGAATTTGATTACTTCCCAAAAGTAGATGCGCTGTGGAGAAATACTTTGGATATGTTTGTGCCAAGCAAAGAATTTTAAATCCTATTTTTTAAACACTGAAATTACTCTTTAATGAAAGCTAATTATTCTTTGTGTTCAACATATTTATTCCCCTGTTAAATTCTCCAAAGCTTCAGCGATGGAGAAAAATCTCTCTACCATATTCATCAATAGCTACACACCCTTAGCGCCGCACTGTGTTGCGGCTAGTGGAAAAGTAACTTTTTTCCGATTATTTTTTTCAGTGTTTTTAATGATGCAATTTTATCACAGACATTCCAAGTAAACAAAAAACACATAAAGCTTATTTTTATGTTGGCCCGTTGATTTTTAATTGATTTTAGAAGTCAAATATACAAAATTTTCACGAAAAGAAGGGATTTCAGGGCTGTATTCAAAATGATCTCATTTGATTTTGGTGACAGATATTTTGATTCGGAAAAAAAATCTGCCTTCGGACAAGTATCTTCTGTAAAAAAAAGGAATGTTGTTTGAGACATTTTCATATGCACCTTTTTTAGAGCGAAAACCCGACTAAAGGTCCATTTTTCCTTTAAATTTGGGTTAGGTAAGCAATATCTAAAAAGTCCCAGAGAGTCCCAGTTCCAAACCACTACAGAAATGTTACATAATTTGTTTTCAACGAACTGTGAAAAAATCAGCTGCCCATACCTGCCCTCCTGGGAGTTATAGCGATTTTAGTATATCACTCTCAGTATTTATTCCATAGAAATAGAACGGAAATTCTCGGAATCACTTATTGAATAATTTAATCATATTGGTTTTCGGGTGACTTTCCGTCATCCCACGTCAAATTTTTATTATTTTCAGACCGGTTTCGGCTAATCGCCATCTTCAGTGTTTTCTTTTTNCTCCTTATTTGCTTTTTTTAAAGTCTCCATTACCCTCTTAATTTCTTTCTCATTGCTAGCTACTAATTCCTTGATTTCCCTATTATGATTGTTTATTAGGCTTTCGAATTCCGTTTTCTGTTCGCATATATTTATTTTGTTGCTTTCCGCTATTGATATCATTTGTTTGAGCGCATAATCAACATTCGATATGTATGTAACACAGTCATCACACATGAATCTCAAGTAGGGGCAATTTACTAAACCTTGCAAACAGTAGTCATCTATAGATGCACACGCTTTGGTTTTGTGATAGACTCTACCACACACACCCGCACAGTGCAATCCAGTTTTATCTCTTATGCCTTTTCGGCACTTGTGACACTCTTCCATTATTCACTCAGCCACCGCGCTTTTGTTTACCGTTTTGTTTATTTTGTGCAAAAGAAAGTGGAATTAGAAAAATTATTATTTAGAGTTCAACTCTTGAATTCAATATTTTTCACTTGTTTAAAAATATCTCATTACTGGTATAGAGTCACTATCTCGTAAAACCATCAGCCGAGTTTATACATGAATATAAGTTTGAAATATCTCGATTTATAAAAAATTATTGCAGAGCAATCAAATGCACGTCTATTCACGTTGACTTCTCTCTATCTGCTTGGAGATGTAGCTTATTGGGCTGCGAGTTAACCGATTACTTAAAAGCTAGAAATTGCATATTGCTCTTCAGGCCGTTATCTACAAAGACTCCACTTTACTCATATGAAAAATTAATCTTTCCTAAGTCTGAATACTCTGATGATTTATGTAATTGTACCTCAGTTTAACTACAAAAACTCTACTAGGCTGTTTTTTGTCAATGCTGTGAGAGTGTGGAACTCTATTCCTGCCACTATTAGGAGCAAAATCAACAAAAGCAACTACNATGGTTTATAGCAAGCTTGATTCTATTTAGGTCATCTCATAAAATTGATACCTTATTCAATCATATTACGCGTTATGTTTATGGACTACGAAAGTTTGACCACATATTTTATTTATTTATTTATTTATTTATTGACAGTCTTTAAGACCTATAAAAAATCTTGTCAATTACATTATAAACTTATTTAATTTAATTGATTGCTCTTCTACTAATACTATACATTAACATTTTTCTTATTNATTTTAAATTTGTTTGTTTTTCCTTTTGGATTTGTTTTGTTTTTTTTTAATATCTCTATCTAAAATTATATATTAGCACACCCTAATGTACGTGTTTTTATCACACACGGAGGACTCTTTGGCACACAGGAATCTATATATCATGGAGTGCCAGTTTTGGGTATGCCTTTCTTTTCCGATCAGGTAAGTTGGAAAACAATTCTGGTTACCGATCTTTTCGTTTGAATATGCAAATGTTCTGCATAAATTAGTGAATTTTTATCGACATATCGATTTTGTTGTTAGCAATTTATTGACATTTCTTTTTGTTGGCATATTTATCGATATTTTTGTATCGGCATATATAAGCAATGGCACCGACTGATTTTACCGATGTGCCTATCGATTTTATAATCGTTTTATATATTACACAATCTATCGATAACTTTATCGGAATGGTATTTGATATCGTTACAGCTATTACTATTTTCTCAGAAAATATTGGTACATATTTGTATACATTTTTATCGATAAACATATTGTAAATATATTGTATCGATATTAATTTAGATAATGCTATGCATGTGCCAATTTTTATTATCGATATCAAAAACAATACCTGTTGATAACGGTTATTCATCGTATTCGTATTTGTTTCTCAGCTCGTATTGCCAAAGACGGTTTAAACAAGCTCAGTAGTTCAGATTTTTCCTACTGGGCATTAGTTAAAGTAAATATTTTGTTGCCAAACAAACACAGCATTCACTAATTGGCGTTTTGCAAAATTTATTAAAGTTTATATTACTTTATTTCATATAAATGCATATACTTGCTTTCTGGGGAACCTCTTGATTGATATGCACACAAAAGTAGCTAAATTCTTGAAGCGAAGAGAAATTTGAAGCAAATCCAAATTTTGAACTCTTCTGAAGAAAAGTAATGAATTGAAACTAAATGGAAAAAGTTAACTATTTCTCAAACATCGATTTGCAATTAAATTGAGTTCTTGAAAGGAAACTAGAAAATTAAAAAATAAATGGATACCTCTATATGTATGTATGTATGTATGTATGTATGTATGTATTGTATACCAAAAGCCACCGATATGAAGTGTTTGCATTACTTTCTAAAACTAAGTTTTGAGGCGACTTTTTATTTGCGTTGAGTGGAATTATTAGCAGCGGATAAAGGCTCGTCAGCTCGCTTTGTCGTAAATAATTTATTTACTCACCAATAATTTCACAAACCATGAATACCAGGCATAGTACGCTTGCTATTATCAATTTTTTCCGAGCCTTAATATCTATGCCTTCTGTGCGTTGACGATGGCAGTGGTCGCGCACTGAAATGATATTAGAAAACAGAGAAAGAATAAACATAAATACTTTCGAAAGTAATTATAAAAATTTAGGTGGCCAAATAGAAAATATTATAGAGTTGTTTCTCGACGAACAAATAAATTATTTTTTTTTTTTTGTTCCAAGGTGTAGTGAGCCATTGGTGAACTTGGGCCCTTAATGAGCTATCCCTTTGTTTAATTCTTCTTTAATAAGCCCCAGGTGTTGGATAATAATTCTTTAAAAGGACCTTGTAGATATATAATACCAGAAACCAGCCAAGTATATTGCGGACTGGCACACATAAGGACAAAGTTGCATAACGGGATAATTGCGATAAAGGATACTTAGCCACAAACTTCATAAAATTCATTCTCAATCATATATATAAATACCCTTATACCAGCAGCAAGAGTGTGCAAATTTATGAGTTTTGAGTTATTGGGTTGACTTGATTAACCTTTGGATATAAAAGTGGAGTTAAGTCTCGTAAAAAAAAAACCTTCCAACTTGATTTCCCAAAATTTTCATTTTTACACATTCATTTTTCTGGCATACGGGGGCGCCGATATGTATGTACACTAGGTCGGAATTACAAGTCTTGCACCCCTAGAATTCTTTTATGCCGAAAAATATATACCCCCTTTTTATTTTGAATCCAAAAAATATTTAGAGAGTGCTCAAAGCGCTCAAAGTTTTCCATGGAATTTATATGGTCAAAAATTAATTTTCGTAGAGATGAAATAGAATACTTAAAAATCAATATATTTCGATCGGAAAACTCTGGTGCTCTTCAGTAGACTACCAATAACAATACCCAATTGTTTATTTTACAATTTTTCATTAATAAAAAAATTGTTGATAGGTTCTCCAAAACCCATATAAAATGTACTGGGGGACTAGTAAAAAATCGTTAGTATTAAAAAATTATAAACCAAAAAAATTGGGCATTATGAATGAAAGTCTCCTGAAGAAGTGTTTTCGGATCAAAAAATATTGAATTTCAAGAATTCTATACCATATCTACGAAAATTTGTTTTTCCCCATATAAAATATCTTTGAGCGGTTTGACCGACCTCTAAATATATTTCTATTTCAAAATAAAAACAAACAGGGTTATATTTTTCCCTACATATATATATATATATATATTTTTACAGCTGTAGTACATGTCCGCGGATATCTTGGGGGTTGCGGAAGGGGGTTTTGCCCGATGTACGACGCACCGTTCCTTTCAACTCTCTACCCACGGCCTGAAGGGCTATAGTTGGCCCCTTTCTGCACTCTTCGCCGGCCACCAGCATTTCTGAGAAAGACCGTGCGATCCACAAGTGTGTACCGGCACTCACCGATAGTCAGAACACTGTGAGGAGTCACACAAGTTCATCTAGCAACTGCCATCGATACTCTCGCCGTTGCATGGAGCCGCCAAACGATCTACAATTATCGTTTCTCACGGATATTCTCGCATTATTCTGATTGGACGGTCATTCAAAGGAGCCACCATTCTTATTTTTTCCGAAGTAAAATATTCGAGTGTAATCCTATATGGAAAACATTTATGGAAGTCTTAAGTTGAACAAGTCCAGCATTCTGGCAATTTAAAAAGTTAGTCTTAATTAGCTTCGACAATGTTCTTATCCAAAATCAAAGGACGAGCACAGTGTGCTGTACGGGAGCTTTTTCTACAACAACGAGGTCTGCTTTCTATGCAGCTCAAAACCTGCTGTCACTTACTATCATATTTTGTCCACAAAAAGGCTCTTGAGGCTGTGCATTTAGGCTTGAAAGAAAATAGCACCGGTATGCTATAGAGTGGAATGAGACGGAAATGGCTGAAGGCTGAGATCTACACGTTAATGTTAAACAGTTATCACAACGTTGAGTTCCCTGAGGCTGACTGCTGGTTTAACTCCTATACCGGGGTTTACACAATGCAGAGCCATTTACTGATGGCACAGTATCAACATCTGCAGTCTATATTGAAGGTTACTCCGCTCTCTTGGGAAATATTCCTCGGTATTTAAGTTGAAGTATTTACAACCCCCAAGCCCATGGGCTACGTAGAGGTAAATTGGTGGAGGGGTAGAAGTATATGTGCCTGGCTGAATTACGCAGGAAAATATAACAAATTTGCTTTACTTTGGGTGTCAGGTCACAGGGAAGTACTTGGTAATAAGAAAGACATCTGACTATTTGGCTCGCGCTTTCGCCCATCGAAGCCACGGTTAGAAGCTGATTGAATGTTTGACTCAGCAATGCCTGAGAGGCTTCAAAGGGCTGCCGGTGGGCAAAATTCATATTTCCCTCAATATCAAAAGTAAATAGTGATCGGCCTACAAGAGAAATCCCTTTCCCTTCCTGCCTGAAAGATGATGATGATGATGATGCTTCTGCCGCGCCTTTGCAAGGATTCTGGTATGAGACTTTTGGCAACGACGTGCTTAGAGATGAATACCTCACTTCTTTAACACTCAACGCACTTCTATGATTTATTCTCAGATCATTTAGATTTAAAACAGATGCATTCAGTAGTTGAAATACCCTTTTTTTATTTCCATTTCACGCCTCCTTTTCAACTAATTTTTGAATAACAAGAAAATCTTAACATAATAAATTTTTTACAAATGATTTACATCTTCATAACTCTAAAGAAAGGTCACTAGCTTACAAAAAGATTTAATTTCTTTAAAACATAAGGCCGTAACCCATTCGAGCTCTATCATTCTTTCAACTTATTTGTTTTTAATATGCATAAATTTTACAAAAATCGTGCAAGGTATGCAACTTTAAAAGCATTTTCCATAACGACTTTTCAATATTCAAAATGAATTATAACACCAAAGACACCAGCAACAATTGCAACAGAGGTAAGTGCAGCAGAAGTAGTGGCAGCAGCGACGGCAGAGGAGCGAACACCATATGCAAATAATAACCCGCCAAGGCAGCGGAAAGCGCCAATGAACAGCAGCAAAAGCGCATTGCTCATACGCACTGTTGAACTAGCAGAAGAGTGCTCGGCTGTATGGTGTATATGTATGTAGGTATGCACATTAGACTGTACCACCTTAAAAGCAAACAAAACAAGTACGTCGTACTTCGAAAATTGTTATTTTTTTGGCGTAGGACGTTTTTCGGCAATACATTTTCTTTTTTGTTTTTTTTTTTTTTTTAAATAGTTCTGCTGGAATAATCAAAATACGTCCTTAGCAAAATTTTGATGATATTTGGAGAAATATAATCTACTGACATTAGGGTGGTTAGGTTAGGTTAAGTTGTTAAGAACTCACATCGAGACAAAAACTTCGATATATTATATATGCTGAAGATATGACGAAAAAACTTGTAAAAAAATTAGAAAAATCGACAAACAAATTTAAATTGTCGTAAATCGTAATACTTCCTTAGCAAAAGTTTCATGAGTTTTATTTTATTGGCATTAGGGTGGAACGTTACGGTGGTAAAACTGAGATCTGGTGTGTAAATACTAAGTAGAACGGGGTACTTTCGGTCAATGAAATTTGGAACAAACAAACATTGTCTGGTTTAGACAAGAACATCGATATATTACACCGTGCGAAAAAGACAAAAAAAAATCAAAACACACAAAACAATCAATATACTCACGAAACTCTGGGCCAAATAAAGAAAAAAATATGATTTAACAAACAAAAAAAAATTTAAAAAATTCCGTAGAATTAAAAAAAAAATTAACGTATGTTGGTTTAAAAACGGGAATAAGTATTGCAAATGTGAATTTAATTAAAATATTTTTTTAAGCTAACAAAGTTAGAAGGACGAAATTCGAGGATTTTGTCGTGTGTATGTTAGTCCTTAATACATAATTTTTACGAAAATAGGTATGTATTGCAAATTTTCAAAGCTGTTGAAGGACATAGTTTTAAAATTAAATTTTTCATGCCCATCCGTCCTTATACACCAAAAAATGTAATACTTTTTAATTCTACAGGATTTCCTCTTTTTTTATACCCACAGTGTTATTCTACATTTCCCTGAATTTTTAAATTCATCATATTTTTTTTAATTTCTAAGTCCTTTAAAAAAAAAATCTGTCTTCAGAGTGAAAAACTAAAAACGCAGTTTTACTATATTTAGCACATAGTTTCGCGAATATATCGATCACTAACCGCCAAAAAAATGTAAGCGGTTTTTTTTCGTTTTTTTTTTGATGCAGAAATACTTTTGGTTGCTCTATGGACATTTCTGCAACAAAAAGAAACTTTCGCTTACATCGTTTTGGCGGTTAGCGCTCGATATACTTAAATTTTTATTTTTTTTTTTTATTTATTATCGCATGGCGTTATACTTCAGCAACCGACTGGCTGTAAATGCCGAAGANTTTAGTTGTTTGTGTGTGTGTGTGTGTGTGTGTGTGTGTGTGTGTGTGTGTGTGNGAAATTCGAGGATTTTGTCGTGTGTATGTTAGTCCTTAATACATAATTTTTACGAAAATAGGTATGTATTGCAAATTTTCAAAGCTGTTGAAGGACATAGTTTTAAAATTAAATTTTTCATGCCCATCCGTCCTTATACACCAAAAAATGTAATACTTTTTAATTCTACAGGATTTCCTCTTTTTTTATACCCACAGTGTTATTCTACATTTCCCTGAATTTTTAAATTCATCATATTTTTTTTAATTTCTAAGTCCTTTAAAAAAAAAATCTGTCTTCAGAGTGAAAAACTAAAAACGCAGTTTTACTATATTTAGCACATAGTTTCGCGAATATATCGATCACTAACCGCCAAAAAAATGTAAGCGGTTTTTTTTCGTTTTTTTTTTGATGCAGAAATACTTTTGGTTGCTCTATGGACATTTCTGCAACAAAAAGAAACTTTCGCTTACATCGTTTTGGCGGTTAGCGCTCGATATACTTAAATTTTTATTTTTTTTTTTTATTTATTATCGCATGGCGTTATACTTCAGCAACCGACTGGCTGTAAATGCCGAAGATAATATCTCATCATATTATGACGAAAAATT